TTCAGTTTTATTCCGTATTGCCTTAATATTTCGAAGGCTTCCTTCAGATGACCAATGTGATCTTCTTTCTTTGATGACTTCACCAGCATGTCATCAATGTAAACTTCCATTGTTTTACCGAGTTGTTCTTTGAACATTTTGGTGACCAATCTTTGATACGTGACCCCTGCGTTCTTGAGCCCAAACGACATTACCTTGTAGCAGTACGTACCTTGGTGAGTGATGAAAGTGGTCTTTTCCTGATCCTCTTCAGCAATTAGAATCTGATTATAATCGGAGTACGCATCCAAGAAGCTTAGCAATTTGTGGCCCGCTGTTCATCGATAAGTTGGTCGATGTGAGGTAGCAGGAAAGAATCCTTCGGGCACACTTTGTTCAAATCGGTGAAGTCGACACACATTCGCCACTTCCCGTTCTTCTTTTTTACCATGACCACATTGGCGACCTATTGGGGGTATTTCGATTCTTTGATGGAACCGTTGGCGAGTAATTTATCAACTTCTTCATTGACCGCCTCATTGATCGTGGCATTGAATTTCCTCCTTATTTTTCGTTCCGATGGATAAAGTGGATCGATATTTAGCTTGTGTGTGGAGATCTCCCTTGGGATTCCTGGCATTCCTGAATGGGAAAAAGCAAACAAATTGGCGTTGTTAGTTAAAAACTCACGATATTCACCTGGCTCCGAGAGGTTGTGCCCAACGTAAGCCTTTTTGGCACAATCGGTGTTATCTAACTGGATGAGGTTGAGATCCTCTACGGTCACCTTGCAAACTTCTACAATGTCCGGATCTTTGATGGCTTCTTCTTGTATGTCGGGTTTGGTGCCCGACATGGCTGACTGCCATGCTTCCGTGCTTGCCCCTTTTAGCTGTTTGGTATGTGTGCGATCCTGGGCGATCCGATAACATTCTTGGGTAGTACGTGGTTCGCCTCAGATGTTGAATATCCTCCATGGGGTGGGAAATTTGATCACCTGATAGAAGCTTGAGGGGACGGCTCGTATGGCGTGTATCCATGGTCGTCCTATGATGACGTTGTAGGTCGTTTACTGGTTCATGACGTGGAACGTTGTTTCCAGGGTGATCCCTTTTGCTAGGACATGTAGCATTATTTCTCCGGATGTCCACTCTACTGCATTATTGAAACCCGTTAGTGTTATGCAATGTGGTATTATTTTATCCTCGAGCCTCATTTGCACGAGGACTCGCGAGTGAACAATACACGCGCCGCTTTCGTTATCCACCATGATTCTTTTCACATCGGTGTTAGAGATGCGTAAATTTATAACCAAAGCATCATAGTGAGGAAAATACAAACCATCGGTATCTGACTTATCGAAGATGATATTGTCTTCAAGGTCATCATACTGTTCGTGGGCGACCGTCCGTTTAAGTTTATGCGTGGTAGTGAACTTCACATGGTTGATTACCGTATCATCACCGCTGACAATGATCATTTGTATGGTACGCGCTGGCGATGGTGGCTTTGGAGGTCCTTGAGAAGGGTCGCGTCCTTGAGCGAAGTTGGCCATTCCTTTATTGCTTAGCAGTTCTTTCAGGTACCCTTGGTTCAACATTCTAACTACTTCTTGCCGCAGACCTATGCAATCTTCGGTCTTGTGTCCTCTTTCTTGGTGGAACTCATAGAGGACGTTCGACCTCCTGGTGCTTGGATCTGATTTCATTTTTTGTGGCCACTGCACCTTCGTGCCCAGCTTCTCCAGTGCGTACACTATTTCTGAAGGGGAAACACAGAAATTATGAGCAGATAGTAGTGGAGGCATACCTCTTTCGCTCCGGAGGGGTACAGTGTGTCGTGGCACGACGTCTGTGTATCGTGTAGGGGGCGGGTTGGATGTTCGGATCTAGGGCTGATGCCTTTCGCGATTGAAATGTAGTGGTTGATCTCGGTGCCCATCGCTATGTCAATATCTCTTTGTCTCGGTCTGGAATGATGTTAATCATTGAAATGGTCCGTTCAGGTCGTCCTCATCCGCTCTCACTTCGGTGCAGTAGGCATTGTGAATCTCTTCCCATGTGGTAGGAGGGTACTTCATGAGTCTACTGAGCAGTTTTTTGGTTGCCTTTGACCCGCTCCAGTTTAACCCATTCTGAAAGGCTGCGACTGCCATCCCTTCCGACACGTTCAGTAGGCTCATCCTTACTCTATTGAATCGGGCCAAGAAATCCCAAAGTCCCTCGCCCGCCGTTTGCCTGACAGCGAAGATATCGTTGACCCTAGCCTTAGCCTTCTTCGCTCCTGAATGAGCGGTGGCGAATTTATCTGCCATTTCTTCGAACGTCGATATCGATCGTGCTGGTAGCTGGGAGTACCATGTCAATGCTCCCTCTGTCAAGGTCTCGCCGAATTTTTTCAACAACACAGACGATACCTGTTCTTTTGATAGATCATTGCCTTTTACTGTGGTAACATAATGGATTAGGTGATCCTCCGCGTCTGTGGTCCCGTCATATATTTTCAAGTATGGTGGCATCTTGAAGGTCTTTGGAATAGGTTGAGGAGCAGCCCCTTCGCTGTAAGGTTGTTTGACGAATCAGCCTACGTCATGTTTTGGTAATAGCTTTGGAGCGCCTGGTATTTTATCGACCCTCTCCTGATGTTCCTTCATTTGGTCGCGGAGTGTTTTGTTCTTTTTTTTCATCTCTCCCATTTTCTTTAAGATGGCCATGAGTGCAGCGTCACCCGCGTTAGTGACAGTGTGGGTATTATCTGCTCGTGTAGTGCTTGGCTCATCGGCAGTAGCTGGGATTTCTGTAGGTGGTATGCCTTCGACACCTCCTTGAGTGGGTTTCTCGATCATGTTGCTCAAAGCACTTGTCAACCATTCTTCCAGCAACTTTTTGACTGATGGTGGTGCTTCCCCCATGGTGGATATCGAGGCTCCCCTTTCGCGCAAAATCGTTAGATCTTCGTGTGGATGGGGTGAGATCTCCCCCTCAGGTGTAGCTCATGGTGTTGTATTCCCGTCATCTTCTCTACCGGCTTCGTCGAGGGCGTTTAGGAGATTGTTCGAGACGTCTGCTATCGCCTTCAGCCTCGCTTCCTTTCACGCCATTGTTGGTTTTGGAGGTTCGAAGAAAGAAGATCACTTTAAGGGATCTAGATGAGAACTATAATTTTAGCTATGGAAATCCCCACAGACGGCGCCAAATTGTTTGACTCAAAAGATGTTAAAACCTTTTTGGACAATACAATCAAAGATGAAGGGGTAAATCGTAGCTGAAGATAATTATCTCTAGACTAATAGTAGGTAAGGAGAAGAGAGTTACAAAGTTTCTTTATATTCAAGATTCGTTCACTTTCCGAATGTCTCTGCTCTCTTACAAGATCTTTTTTTCCCCCTTATATACCAGAGAGAAAATATTCAGAATTATAAGAAATTAAAATACAAGGAATATTCGACAGAATATTCGCAATGTCTCCTAATGAGCTTACATTTTTACAAGGGTCTACAGTTTCTACTTTTGCCTTAAGGTCGTCTTCCTCGGAACACCGATTTGAAGATACTCGGTCGTTGGTCGTGCTCATTATAGGTCGAGGTCGATCAAATTTGGACCCATACAATGGGCTAATGATGTGTTGACAAGTGTCATGAGAGTCGAAACAATAAAGAGAAATGAAGGTTAAGAGAAGTATGGGTAAAACACCCATAGGATTACTTACAAGGATACTGCAAGTGATAACTGGGGGAAAAAAAACATGTGCGGGATGAATAGTTAAAGATTGCAAGGAAAGAAGACTCATTAATATCCACGAACATGGAAAGAAATTGACATAATCCCTGATTATGCGCGATTGACTGTTTTTACCATAGCCATTACATGTTACCCAAGTAACAAGACAATCAATGTAATAGATATTAGTAATAGGCAAGAATTAAATAGGGCAAAGCAGTTACATGTTGTACCCTTATACAAACCCCACTTACCATTTTTTATATATGATCGTCAAGAAATTCACAAAAATATACTGTCAATCTCTAATTTATTTTCTGCTAATTGAAGAATCTTATTCTCTCCTCTCGGAGGGAGGCTGCGATTATCAATAAGATTTCTCTTTCCTTATTCTCTCAGAGATTTTATTTTCATTATTTCTTATTCATCTATATTAGGAAAGTGATGTAAAACTGATTATTAAAAAACCGAATTATGCTATAACTTGCTTTCACCATAAACATTATTTTTGGTTAAACAGGTTGTAAAGTCGTGAGATAGATAAGACGTCCAATCTTACTACTCTGTAATTGCTTTGGATAGTTTGAGGGATAGTCAGTAAATCTCCTTGATTCTAAGTTTGGAGAAGCAAACTTCAATCATAAATTTTCCTTTTAATTATCCGATATTCAAAATTCATTGATTTGACTAATTCGAATTCAAAATTCATTGAATTGATTAATTCGAATTTATATTGGATGCAATCATTACGAATAAAATACTCACTACTAATAAGTTTTACATTCTCACAGTTCGGTTTAATGATCAAATACTCATTACTAAGAAATTCTACAATCTCACAGTTTGATTTTTAGATATTGACGTGAACCGAGACTTCTGGTCGAAGATGCCATTACATCAGGTGGGGTGTTATCACCAAGATTTCAGTACACCATTTATTTTCCTTTCGAGCTGGCCAGAAATAAAGAATATTGTAAAGACTTGCTTTATTGACAGGACAGTTTCATTCTCCTTTTCTCACATTCGTCTTCCCATATTTTGGTTCACGAAAGGGTTGATACTAATCGAAATTTCACCTCATAAATTCTTTTTTCAATGTAAAACAGAGGTGAAAATTTTCAGAGAGTTGCAGTATAATGGAGCCGCACCAGTTATAACTTCAATATAAAATGATACTCTTTAATAAATGTATCCTCTCTTTTTTCTTGGTTTTGTGAAAGCAAAAAAGGGGTTAGCAAAATGATAATTTTGAATAATAATTAAAAAAAAAAAAAGGGGGCCCAACCGCCCAAGCTCCGAAGGTGCAGGCCAATAATGCAAGTAGTAACATTATTCTGAAGAATATACACAATTCACCACCTGTCAATTTCATTAGCTACAAACTGAGTAGAAAGTGGTGTTATGGAGATCGAGATTAAAGAAGAAGAAAAACAGATCCAAAAAAGTGTCTAAAATAATAAAAATTGCATAAATAACCACTAAATAAATTCCCTTCACTCTACTTTACTAGTACTACTTTCACCTTCTTCTTCTTCTTCTTCTTCTTCTTCGTGTTTTTCTCCTTCATGTAATTCATGTAGCTGAGGTTGTAATTCATCGGGTTGACTCGCCACGAAATCCAATATATCTTCACCCGGTTTCTCAGTTTCAGCTACCGGCGGAGAAATCCGGCCAAAGAGAACAACGGCGACGAGGAAAAGAGCAGTGGAGAGTAAGAGAGGCCAAAAGTACTTAATAACATCGATAAAACGAGGTGCAAGATAAATGAGAATAATGATGAAAATAGAAAAAATGGATGCAAATAAGATGTGAAATTTGAACTTGAGAACAAGTTGTTGGATTTCCATTGTAGTAACGTTTCTGGTGATGATGAATTGTGTGAGACCTTTTTGTAGAGAAGAAGAAAAGGGAGAAAGAGGAGATAAATATGGGGGTAATAGAGTGGTTTATCAGTTTCTCTCTCTGCAAAGATTCTCTGCCGTAAAAAGTTTTTTTATAAGGACTATATCTTGAGGACAAAATATTTTTTACAGTGTCACGGCTTTTTTTTTATGTTGTCATAATTCTTTTTCCCAAATTACCCATTTTATTTTTCCAACTTTTCTTTTCCTTTTTTTGTTTCTACCAAGTGTGTGATAGTTGTTTTAGGTCCCAATTAATTTAGATTTGTGCCCATAATGCTTACAAGAGGAAAGTTTTTTCTATCAAGTTCTTTTCATTGCATGTCTCCAACTAAAGGTGGTAAAATGATTAAAAAAATAGTTAACCATCCATATTATCTATTAAAATATGAGTTGGATAATAAATTTTTTAAAACGAGTTAAATATAGATAAGAACCATATTATTCTTTTAGAAAATGGATAACCAATTGACAACTAATGTATAACCAATGAGTCAAACTTTTACATTTGTAAAGCCTCAAATTGGGGGTTCCTCAAGTTAGAGAGACTAAGAATTCTCCCAAAAGTGATCATACACGAGAAGTCATGGATAATAAGGTTACACATTTATCTAGCGGTTAATCCTTTTTTATCTGTATTAAATTTGGGTCGGATCGGATAATTTATTCATATTTTTTATTACCCGTTTTCAACCCGAACCATATCCGATCCAACCCGCTCGTTTGTCACTCCTATCTCCAACTGATACATTTTCGTTACAGAGTGAAGAGATCATATTTGTCAGCAGCGGCGGAGCTAGGATTTTTATTATTGGGGGGAGGGGGGAGAGATCAAAATATAAAAAAATAAGCTTACCAAAAAGTCAAGGGGTGTCGCTATATAATATGTATACATATTTTAAAAAAATTTACCGAGCTATATAGTATAATTTTCCGCCTCACCACAACCCTGATCGTTGGCTTCTAACTTGGTGATATACTAGTTAGTAAAAAGGTATTGACGCTAAGCATGTCAAGACCATTTTGATCAAGTAATTTGCTGTATTATATATCTTAAATTTTAAATCTTTTTTGAAAATTTAGATGTATAATTCGTATATAGAATTTGCTAGGATTCATAATTTTTATAGTTACTAGTATCTATCAACGTGCGTTACACGTTAATAATGACTCGTGATGATTTAAATATTTATTTATATAAAGGAACAATAAAATTTAATTAATTAGAGAAATTTTATGTATAATAATACAACAATCATCTAAATGACGATCAAATGGTTCATTAATATCAATATATCTCTAGAATAGCCATAAGTGCTTCATCCCATATTATCAATTTTGCTTTCCTTATAAATTTAGCATTATTGATATGCTTTGATATATTTGCGATGGTTATTTAAGTTGTTTGAAGAGGTATATCAAATCTAAAGTGGGTGGTCTCATAATAAAATAGTTGTTGGCACACCACTTGTTATTATTGCTAAAAACTTCATGCCTCTTGATATGATATTTGCAAGTAATGCATGACATAAAAATATTATTTCGATCCGCCGGAGGCATCTACAAAGAATAGTCCCGTTATAGCAGAGTCAACTCTTTATAATATAGTCTTGAAAGCTTGTTCGGTTTTAGGATTTAGCTTTGATTGTGCTTCTTCAGACACTTGTATATCATTTTGATTCTTAATAATATACTAACATTTTTACTTTGTGCTCTAACGCTCTTTTTATGGAATAAATTTATGTACCCTAAGATTTTTTTTTAACTTGAATAAGAATTTTACTCATATGATGAATTTAAAAAATAATTGAATTAGATTCTCTTGCTAAATAAAATTAAAAGATTTAATTATTTGGTTTTAACATAAAAAACAATTTATTCTATGCTGATCAGATCTTAATATTAGTTCATCTCTTGTTTTGAATATTTAATATTAATTATAATTTTATCCACTATAAATTTTATTTTCAAAGAGTAAAATATTGATATGACATTTCACTTTTAGATCGTTACGCCTGTAGAATCATTAGTGGTATTGACTCTTACCAACCATTTTTTTCTTTCTCACACATTTATATTCTTAAATATTTTCTTAGTTTCTGTTTAATAATTGGGTATTTTTTAATATTACACAAAAAATTGATAAAAAAAATTATTTGAGTAGGAAATAGTTCAAATATAATATTAAAATATATTACTGTGGGAGTATTTTTTTCCCCTCAATTTTGACTCTTTATGTGGTTCATTTAATATTAATTTTATTTTTTTGGTATTGGACATTATGGAGTGATAATGTATTGCCAATACGGAAAATTCTTATGAAATTAATTTTATTAAACCTTCCTACATATTTTTAGTAAGTATTTAATAAACCAAAAAGTATTAATTTAACATATTAAATATTAAAAATTAGCGTAAAAGGTTTGTAGTCCAAAAAAAAGTTATTGCAGTTATATCCTTTCCCTATGAGTTCTTCCGTTTAATATTTTAGCGCTACTTTGGTATATTAATATTGTATTTATGCTTTTATAATAATATAAGCTCTCTTTTTTCTAAATGGATTTAGACAATATATTACATTCTCAAGTTAAATTAGTAATAGGACATTATAATACGTTTTCAAATTAAATTATTAATAGGAATTTTTAAGAAGTATATTCTAAAAGTAATAGGATTACATGACTAAAGACATTTACTTATTCAAGTTTATATGAATTAGACATCCTGAAAGTAATTATACTAATAGAATTCCTAACGTGTAGTATTATGTCCTAAAACCGATATGATTATGAGGCTAATATCTAGAATTTCGGTTATGTGCTTTTATTATGAGTATATTATACTTAATATTATATGGTTATTTTTGTAAACCGACAAGTTAGGTTACTTATCATTCGGACATGACATTAGCTTTGAGTCACGATGTAATTTGTAAGAATTTTTTATTTACTTACTATATTTCAAAATACATGAAAATAGATATAAGTAAGGATAAATTAATCTCGATATGTGCATCTCGATATGTGCATTGTGTATGTACCCCATCAATAACTATTCAATGTTGAAAACCCACGTAAATTTTACATTAAACAACATATTTGATTTATGGTATGAAAAGTAAATAATTTTTTTTTTTGTAAATGTTAAATGTTGATTCTATTTAAATAATTAAAGATAGAAAAAATCATGAAGATCAAACAACAAATAAAATAAAATAATCTTAAAACTAATTTTAATTAAAATCGACATAAAATGCAACTACAACTTTTATGAAGGAACTGTATTTTGTTCAAAGTAAAAAAAAATATTCCTTCAATTTATAATATAAATAAAGAAGGTAAAATATATATATTATTATTAGTTTTTAAAACGTTGAGTCAAAGTGGACTCTTGAGTTTACAATCTTTCGATTTTTTTAAATCTAAATTTTTTCAAAGCCTTTCCATACGTATTTAGACCATTCTCTCTTTGAGTTCTTCCAATACAAGGTTACATTTAATGTTTTTATTGATGAATTCTTACCTAATTCAATAAAAAAAGTTTTAATAACTAAAAATTAATTAATTTTAAAGTCATAAATATTAACGTGTAGTATTATGTCCTAAAACTAATAGGATTATAAGGCTAATATCTAGAATTTTGGTTATGTCCTTTTATTATGAGTTATCATACTTAATATTATAAGGTTATTTTTGTAAACCAACATTGTATTCATGCTTTTATAATAATATAGATGAATATTTTGAAATTGTTTTTTTTTTTTCAAAAAGTAGGTTTAAAATTGTGTACCTTTTCAAATGTAAGGTACAATATGTTATACGAAATTAGATGGACGAAGCATAAAGAAAGGGTTAATTTTACTGATAGTCATTCAACTATCTTTCAATTTTACTAAAGTCATTCAGCTATTTTTTGTCACTTAAAAGTAATTAAATTTTATCGTTGTCACTTAAAAGTCATTTTGGCTCAAATCCCTACCATAAATATGACATGACATAAGGTTTAATGAGAAAAATTCAAAAATAAGTGTCACATAAGCCTAAATGGACCGTACCCACTTTAGATCCATTTCTCTCTTAATATGATTTGACCCATAACCCAAATTGTTTCAACAACAACAACAACAGCCCAGTATAATCCCACTTAGTGGGGTCTGGGGAGGGTAGTGTGTACGCAGACCTTACCCCTACCCTAGGGTAGAGAGACTGTTTCCAAATAGACCCCCGACATCCTTCCCTCCAAGAACTTCCCACCTTGCTCTTGGGGAGACTCGAACTCACAACCTCTCGGTTGGAAGTCATAACCCAAATTGTTTCGAATTAAGAAAATTGCAGTCCACATTAGTTTAAACTAATTATCTTATATTACAAAATTCTTGTCTTTTTTGTTACATAATGGCCATTTATCATTATTCTATAATAAAAAATTCTTATCTTGTTTGTACGCTCCATCTGAGTCGTTTTGTAACTCTACAAAAGTTAAAATACTATTGTATCCAACTCACATAACATATTATAATTTTCTACTAAAGTTAAAATAGTATTATATCTATCTCACATAACATATTAATGTTTCGTAAGCATACAAGAATAATAAGGTAATAAGAATATATTTTCACAATGAGCATGGAATTACTGACAAACTATTGCAATTGTTTAGACAAACGAAAGATTGTACCTGTACGATCAACCCCCCCCCCCCCCCCACAATTATAAGACCTAATTTTATTAGAGGTGTGTGTTTTCCCCCCTATTGAAACCCATTTGGATTATGGGTCAAAACACATTAAGAGAAAAATGGATTTAGTGGGTATGACCCATTTAAACTTATATAGTAGTATTTATTTTTTGATTTTTTTCATTAAATTTTGTGCCATGTCATATTTGTGGTAGGGTTTTGAGCCAAAAATGACTTTTAAGTAACAATGATAAAGTTTAGTTACTTTTAAGTGACAAAAAATAGTTAAATGACTTTAATGAATTTAAAAGATAGTTGAATGACCATCAGTGAAATTAACCTCATAAAGAAAAGGAACTTTGGCTACCTTAAGGGGTCGTTTGGTTGGAAAAAAGTTAT